GCAGGTTCGGTGGCTTTCCCAGAGGGCGTCCCGGCATTTCTGACAGATACTCACCAGTGTAGGGTCACCTTCGGGTGTACTATTGTCGTATCATTTCCTTTGGACTGCTGTAGGCTTTATGCTCTGAATTCAGCGTCTCACTTACGCTAGCACTTATCTTATTACATTATGTATGCTAGTTTTTAAATTATTCGTACTTTTATATTACTTTTATTAGCTTCCGCACGTGCACATGGTTACGTCACCTTTGCGTGGCGGCCAGCACGCCCTGATTTCGGTTGGGGTGTGTCATGACATGTTAGTGGAAGTATCACAAAGAATTGTCACAATTTGAAGAGAGTCTCCTTCCAATAAGAAATTTCTGAAACCCCTCAAGTCCGCCCAAGATGAACATGCTCTTGCAGCCATAGCTTTTGTCTGCAAGGGAAAGAAAATATCCTGGAAATTCATGCAGGACACAGCCACAAACATCCCCTTGTCGTCCCTTATAACATACCCCTAGGTTTGGGGTAATTTTTAAAATAGGCCGCCATGTTTTAATTTTCTCATATCGCACCTCAAGGTATTGAAATCTTTTGGTCTGGTTTTTGATATGATGAAAGCTTGAGCTCCTTATATGGGCTAAATTGTTTACACCACTTTGACAAATACACTCTTCAATTTAATGGATAATTAAACATTCAAAGAGACAAAATTTAGAAATTGATACAATTTCAAAACCTTAGTGTGTAATCTTTTAGGTAACCTGGATTGGTTGTTTCCACTGTCAATTTTGGCGTTGCTCTTCCACCTTCAGTTGCTATTTTATTTAATTATTAAATCATAGGTTCAACCATCCACTGGGATATAAAGTTTTAAAAATGATTTTACTGTTTATTTTATTTTAACGTGGTCCTATATGATAATAAAATAATAGTTAACATACTGGTTGGAATATAATAAGGGGAGAGTTTTAACGAAAAGTTCATGGTACTGTTCACTTTAATGAAAAATCACATTTTTACACTAAAAAGTCAATCCTAGTACTATTCACTTTACCCTTTATTTTGTACTTATCATTAAAACTCAAAGTTTTCAAGATATTTTCATTAGTTTTCCTATAATAAGGAACTTGACATCATGCTTTAAAAGGGTAGTGCTAGAGAGACCATGTTTAGAAATTTTGTAAACCAAATTACGTGGATGTTGATGATTGGATCATTACTTAAGTATTGATTAACGTGCTTATTTCCTATTGGTGACGTACATCATTTAATTTTACAAATTTGGTTTAAAAATTTGATCTTCCTATCATTATCCACTTTAAAATGCAACATCAACCATCAATTACGAATTTGACAAAATTTTTTGACATACCCGTTGTAAATGCTCTGAAGTGTGCAAAATGTAGTTAGCTATAAAATTATCATAATTAAAGTCTCATTTGGGTGTGCTTTTAAAATGACTGAAAATGTTTTTGGTGAAAATGTTTTTAAAACCAATCTTTAGTAAAAATGTAACTAAATCCTGGAAAAACACTTAAAGTGTTTCCTGGAAGAAGCACATAACTGGCGTTTTTTGCAGAAAGCACTTCAAGTGCTTTTGGAATCTAAAACAATTTTCTCTAAAATCACTTTCAATCATTTTAAAAACACATCCAAACAAGCCCTTAGTAAGGAACTTCATACGGAGATCCCGTTGCAACGTAGTATAAAGGGGGATAGGTTACAACCCATATATTAAGGCCTTCAAAGTTGAAACCCTATAGGTGATGATTGTCTCTGTTTTCATATAAGAGGGCCTTCGTAAATCGTGTAGTTGACATGGATGAACTGAATTGCTTTTTTCTAATAACTTTTTGTAGGGGAAACACAATGCATTATCTTCTGCATGGATGCCACCACAAGCACCCTATGGATGCAATGCGACTTGTTTTTCCTCCTGCAACTGCCACTGTTTTAAGCCTTCTAGTTGTGTGAAATTACATTTCTACATCATATTTCTTATTCATGTTCTGTTTTAATTAGAGGATTAAATCGGTAATTTCATAAAATTTTAGTTGATAATGAGTGTTTTATTAATTAGTAAAGATATATACACACACAGATTTATGTACGCTGCTTCTGATATATCAATCTACATGGTCTGCTAGTTCTGGTTCTGTTTAGGGTTTTATTCCCTCCATCAGTTGCTCCTGCTTTGTTTGATGGGGGTAGGGATGGGCAAAATATCCATAAGTTTAGATAACTGCAGTTACCTGTCCATTTAAAATTCACAGTTACGGTTATAGGTAACCGTTTAGACAAATAAACGATTATATGTAATAACCATTTATCCGTGAAATTTAAATGAGCATTTATGGGTGTTACCTACCGTTATAAACGGTTACCTATTTAACCATTTATTTTAATATATGTAAAATTAGAAAGAAAAAAAAAACTAAAACCCTAAATTAATAAATATTTAGGTCGGAAAGATCTTATTAATTTTGAGTTCAAGTTTATTTGTCATGCATTGCATGCTGAACGTATTTTGGTTGGAACTTGGAAGGGATACGGGGCCTCGGTCTATTAATTTCAGAGTGACGATCTCAATTGTAATGGTGTCTGATTAGTGTTTTCTTTCGTCTTGCTAATTGCGGTTATAAATTAATGTTCCATGATCATGTGTATGGATGGTGCTGCTAATTAATTTTCAAATTTTAATTGCGGTTATAAATTAATGTTTGATGTTCAGGCGCATGGCTACTAAGAAAAATCTCATCGATTCATTGTCAAATATGATAGTGTTTAACGGTCAAAAAAATAAAATTATGATTTTTTTTTTTAAATTTTCCAATTGTTAAAAAAACATGTAAACGGGTAAAAAAACGGTAAATGGGTAAAAAAACAGGTATATGCGGTTACGGTTAAATGGGTATGCAGTTATTGGTATGATTAATCGTTTATATACAATTACCCAACGGGTAAATAGTCATACGGGTAAGAGATTAAACGGTTATAGATAAATAATCGCAGTTACCCGCTCGCCATAATCATTACCTATCCCTAAGCGGGGGTGTGTTGGGATACACAGCATATGATCTCACTCATTAGTACCTGCACCATATGGGAAGCCTTCTAAAAGTTCGTGTTCTTGAATCTCAAGGTAACAATATTTTTTTAATTTTAATTTTAATTTAGAGACCAATTTATGGTTCTATTTCATCAAATAATCCTCACTTTATCTCTAATATTCATGACTTAATTAACAAGTAATACTTGGTCGTACGTGTGTGTATGTTTAACTGCAGAGGTTTCACTTGAACCATCACTTTCAGAATTCAAAACAAGGGATTTGGGGTCACTCCCTCCGGAAAAATACCCAGAAATTAACCAGTAGTCAGCCTTGCTGGCTGGTTCGATTCATTCTTTGTTTTCCCTAAATTATATATGTTTTTCTTATTAGTACCATGTCAATGTGGACATCAGTTGGCCGAATTGACCAAACCATAGTGGCTAGATTGGCTTTTCTATTATTTTTTTACAAAAGAAATTTCAATGGTTGGACCGTAATGGTTTGGTTCCGTTATAGTTTTGAAATTTTCTAAACCGATCTAAATTGAATTGCAGTGACATTACTTAATTAAGCTTGTTAGTAGAGATGTATATTACTAGACCAAATAATGTAGCGATGACACTAAAATATCTTCTATGTTAGAAAAGATTTATGACATGTTTGCTTACTTGAAATGAGGGAAGAATATGTTGTAAAGTAGTTCCGTAATCAGTATATATATTTTATGATTTTTCATGTATTATCTTGACCATATTTGTACTGGTCTAAAGGCTTTTTGATGTAATTAATTTAAGTTTTCCTTTAAACCTTGAATAAACGAAACTAAGAGACTTTAGTTAAACTATACAATGAAATTGTTACAACTATATATTGAACTTTTTATCTATGTGAATTGAATTTAAGATCTTTATATTATAGAGAAAAATAATATTATTTTTTTAAACTTTAGATGTCGTTAAGATTATGTGAGAGTAATTTATGTTTTATGACATGTCAATATTATTAATGTCTTGTATATAAAAGTTTATATATACTACTATAATATTAACACATGACGTTACGATAGTTGGGTATCAACAACACATAAAAACCATCCATACATTCATCATATGAGCAAAGAGAACATGTCACAGTTGGGAGAAAACGAGAGAATGGTGCCTTTACCGAAGTTAGCCAACTGTTGACGCTGACCGGCAGTTGAGGCAACCGATCGGAATGATTTTGCCCTTCTCCCACAAAAATGTCTCATGTAGGCCAACCAAATTCCCTAATTAACAAAGGGAATTTTCGAACAAAAGAAAAAAAAAAAAACAAAGGGAATTAGATCCCTATGGATGTCCGGAGTAAAGATAAAAAAATCTGGATTTTTGATTTGTATGAAAAAAAAAAATCAAAATCATTAATCTGTATGAAATGAATCAACGAAATAAGTTAATTAAGAACGATCATATTCAATTTGTGTGGTCAATATTTTGATTTCTACAATGTTTGGAGTGAATCAAATTCCTTAACAAAGTTACCATAGGGGGACCCACAAGACTTTCTTATCGCCACCACCTCATTGACAAGAAAAACGAACTCAGACAACAGACACCGTCTCAACTTCTACACTGTAAATTAACCCACTGCACTCCGCTGTAAAAAGAAAGGAAGTTTTAACGAAAAACTTACAGTACTGTTTACTTTAACGAAAAATCATATTTTTACACTAAAAAGTCAATTCTGGTACTATTTACTTTATCTTTTATTTTACCCTTATCATTAAAACTCAAAATTTTCAAAACATTTTTATTAGTTTCTTTAAAAAGAATCGTTAAAAGAACTTGAAAAGTTGCCAGACTGGCTACCGTTTTAGAAACTTGGAATCCAACGTGAGGAGTGCTGGCCATGCCCATACAAAAATCGACGGCCCAAATCGTCCCATCTCTTTAAATCATCTGCCGACTTTTTTTTCACAAAAAGGGAGAGAGAGACTCAGATATTCCTCTGCCACTGCACCGCTTGACCCTCAACGCTGAAACCTCTTCTAGTGGTGGTGCTGGTGGTTCATATTCTACAGAGAGAGAGAGAGAGAGAGAGAGAGGGACAAAGGGTGGCCGTGTTCCGTCGTTCTCTTCCGTTGGATCCGACCCGGGTTCTCAATTGGTAACCCATTGCTCTCCCTCGTCTGATTTTTTAAATTTTGTGTAGTTTTCGTGCGATTTGTAGATCTGGGTGTGTTTGTTTTTGGTGTTTTGGTTTCGAAAGTTGTGGGTTTCGAATTTGGGTTCGATAGGTGCGTTGTGGGTTTCCTTTTTCTTGTCGAACAGTGGATTTTTTGAATTTCATGATGCTAAATGCTGTTTGGTTGGTGAGAAATCATGGAAGAAAAGGGGAACAAATCATGGGGTTTGAGAATAAAGCACGAGTCTTGATACTTTGTGTGATATTGTGTGGAGCCGTTTTTGCAGATGCAGAGTGAGATTATCTGTTTGGTAGCTGGGAAAGTAGAGGGAAAAGGGAAAGCTGGATTTTCTTGTTTTCAAGAAAAAATGGATCTCCTGTGACTTGATTAATTTCAAATGAGGCATTTGAGTGGAAATTTCCTTTCTGCATCATGTTATGGATGCTGTGTTTCGTTTTTGTTGTCAAGATTCATCTTTTTTCTCATGGATGCATGTTAAAATTGATGAAGAAAATTCGAGATTTAGATCATAGTGCAAATGAGTCCGATAAATTCTTAGCTATCAAATGTCGCCATAAATGTCGTCATTTACTGGATAAATTCTTAGCTGTATTTTTTCTCTGGTGCTGATTACTGCTTCACCTTGATAAGTTTATCTTTTGATAATTTTCAAACAAAGATTTGTGGCCTATAGGCAGGTATTAGTCGGTTACACGGACTAGTTTGAGGAAGTCAAAGAGAACTTTCCTTTAAATTGTCGTTGGCAGTGAGACCTAGTCCATAAGATTAAACCAGTGTTCAATTACTGATATTGTAATCAGATGTAATATCAGATACTAACTTCTCACATGTTACAATTTTTTATCTCTAATATCTGAATCCTTATTGCAACCATGTCATTATATCTTTTTGGTTCTTGTCCTCTATAGATCCGCATCATTGAACTTAATGTATTAGTTTTGCTGTTTCTCCAGCAGTGTTATACGTAACAAGATGGTTGCACAGGACTTCAAAGTTGATTTGGATAAAGCCCTTGTATTTCAGGTAAGGCTTGCCTAATGTTTTTTATTTGTTCGTATATGGACTTGAATATGTATAACCATTTAGATCTGAGGCTCTTCATTCGTAAGTATACGAAGTGCCATCCTTCTAGATTTTCAACGACGATTTTCAATGCATTTCTCCAAATATATCTTTTATTTTTGGATAGATGCTGAGAAATTTGCTAAACAGTCTCTTTGCACGGGGACATTTACCGCTTATATTTGGTGCCTCCTTTTCCTTCTCAGAGAGTTCATAGCATGTCACATTTTTCTCTAGAATTGCTTTTTCCTTTTTTTTATAAATCTATGAGTATTGTGATCTCTCTTGCGACCCCGTCTCTCTTTATTGTATTTGATGATTGTATTGAATTTGACTGTAACTTTTGGCTTTTCACAATCTTTCACAGGTTGGCCATCTTGGAGAAGCATACCAAGAGTGGGTTCACCAGCCGATTGTTAGCAAAGAAGGCCCTCGATTTTTTGAAAATGAATTTTGGGAGGTACTGCCTCCTCCTTTAGTTAATCCGTTACAAATTTAATTCACATATGCTTATATGGTAGCACAGTGCACATGCAGCTAAATTTCTTTCTTGAGAATTTGCAGAGCTCTACTTCTGACTCATTTTTCTACTTGAATTAGTTCTTGACCCGCACAGTGTGGTGGGCAGTTCCTGTCATATGGCTGCCAGTTGTGTTCTATTGCATCTCAGTGTCTGTACGAATGGGCCATACATTCCCTGAAATAGTTCTGATGGTTGTTTCTGGCATTTTTGTCTGGACATTGCTTGAATACACGTTGCACCGCTTTCTTTTCCACATTGAGACAAATAGCTACTGGTTTGTTTCTTATAACTCTCTCCCCACTTTTTATGTTTTTGTTTACGCATGCATAACTTCTGAATGTCACTGAGACTAATGCAATTGTTCTGCTGTAACTGCTTCAGGTGGAACACCTTACATTATCTCCTTCATGGCTGCCACCATAAGCATCCAATGGACGGCCTGAGACTTGTTTTCCCTCCTGCTGCGACAGCTGTATTATGCATTCCAGTATGTCTATTCTTCCATATCTCTTATTGTCCTGCCTCGTTGTCACTATGTGTGGTTCAAGAATACTGTGGTTAATGGTTATTCTGAAGGGTCAAACTATTTATTTTTCTAATGGAAGCAAAATTACATGTCCTAGGGCCATGATACATTGTTTTGAATTTGATTGGATAGGATATCTGGTTACTGTTCTCGGTATTAAGATTGCATAATTTTGGTCTTGAGGTTTACTTAGACCTTAACGATATTACCATTAAATAAATTTGTCTAGGATTGTTTTATATGAAAAAGAATTTCATTGCCAATCATAACGCCATTGTCATTTGTGCTAGTTCTTTAACTTGGTGAAGCTGATGGCCTCTCCTACTGTTGCTCCTGCTTTGTTTGGAGGCGGTTTATTGGGCTACGTGATGTATGATTGCACCCATTACTATCTTCATCACGGCCAGCCATCAAGTGAGGTACCCCGAAATCTGAAGGTAAAGATCTCTACGCCTTTCATCCTTGTAGGACTTTTACCCATTAGACCTAATATCTCTGTTTGCATTGTAATCATGATCAGAACTTACAAATCTTTTACACTTTCTGCTCGACGGGAACCGGTCAATGCCCAACAAGAATAACACGGTGTTTGCTTGTGTTTGCAGAAATACCACTTGAATCATCACTTCAGGATCCAAGATAAGGGCTTCGGAATAACTTCAAGTTTATGGGACAGGGTGTTCGGAACACTTCCACAATCGAAAGCAGCCAAGAAAGTCAGATAATTTTGGAAGAAGGGATTAGCACCCGGCATTGGGTTAGGATAAGCAAGTGAAAGTGAATTTCAACATTAATATTCTTTAATTTGCTCTCCTAAATTTGATGTACGCGTAATTTATCGACGTCTTCGGGTTGGCATCGCATGTGGCACGGAGGTGTCAATTTTTGTGGTGCTGTCATGTACAAATTAACATAACGTGGATTACTGTCGGCGGATTCATTGCTTGTTTATGGGAGGAGACTTTCTCCAAGTTGTCTATATTTTGCCTTGGCTCTTAAGCTATCTTGTTGCATGTTTTCGTCGAGAGTGGACTTTTCAAAGGTCTGCAGTCAATTCCCGAGTATTATTATTATTAGTCGTTTTGTTGACTTTAGCTATAGCATTGAGAATATAAATTAGAATTTCAATATTTAAATTGAGGGTTGCTTATCAACTTTTTGAATCTTTTTTTTAACAAATCATGAATTTGTTTGGACATTATTAAATTAAAGATATTATCGAAAACTATACTCAAGTGGAAGTAATGTGCTTCATAATCGGAGAGTACTCGTGTGTACGACGGTCATCATAATTACCAATAAAACAACCTTCTGGCATGAGGTTGTGTGTACAATGTTCATCGTAGTTACTAAAAGAGACAATCTGGTGAGGTTATAGGTGCGCCTTGACGTTGAACTTTTATAATCCAATTAAAAACAACCCTCATCATGGCATACTTGGTGACACGGCATTTTTTTCACTCAAGTATTGAAAATTTGAATTATTGTGATTTTTGAGTTATTTTTTTGTTCACTAAAATACGAGTGTAGTTGTTTCAATTCTTAACTTTCTATGTAAGGGGTGGATTTTCTCTTAAAATCCGTAATTGAGTATTTAAAATCATGAATTGATTAATTATGAGGATAGTTGATCTGATTTCCTTTCTTTACTTTCTATAATCCTAGGTTACCTGATTTATTCTTCTCTCATGCTTTGCTAAGTAAACATGCCATTGAGTGTCTTAATTACATTAATGAAAATAAATCTCGAAATGTATACTGGAATTTTTTTTTATTAAAAGGATAATACTTAGGGCGTGACTGCTTGAAGAAATCGGAGAAATTGTAGCATGGAACACGTGCATCCCTGGCGATGATCACCATTCGCCACGGGTATTCGCTAGCGCCCTTGAAGGCAGTCTCAAGACTTGCTAACGCTCGTTTCTTTATCTAATTACATGAACCAATAATACTGCAACACTTGTTGGCCCAGTTTTGAAACATACATCCACCACACACATTTGATTTTTCATACCATATTGGGCTGGGCTAATTGCTGGTTTGAAATGGACTTGGATCTGAATGTGGGCCGAGACCAGAATGCAATCCGATTGTGTATTTTTGGTTTTCAAGTGGTCGAGAGAGAGAGTGCAAAATTTTTGGAAAAAAAGAAAAAAAGTAAAAAAAGAAAAAGAAAAAGAGGATTGTGGGGTTTAAGGATCCGATTAGGAATCGGGTTTACCGACCCAAACCAAAAAGGGTTCCTTCCTCTTACTGCCAGTATTCAATAGTCAGTTGTAATTTGTGTTGGGTTCTCGCTCTCTTTTGCGTTGAGAGATTCATCAACAATTTGGGGATTTAGGGTTTTTGCTGCTTGTTAATGGACCACTTCAACTCCTTTGTCCCACTGCAATAGAACCAGTACGACTCTCTCTCGCTCTCTCTCTACATCAATTCGTTAACTTTTCACCACTCATTTCTAAAGCTTCTTTGATTTGGCGACATGATTGCAGCAATGGTGGCAGACGGGCCAGTGAATCCCCAGGTGGTCAATTCGTGCTGTGCTACGGTAAGGGTTCAATTTTTCAAATTTTCATTTATTTTTCTTCTGAAGTTTTAATATTTTGAATTTATTGGTATTCGATTTCATTGTTACCCAATTTTATGCTTGCTGTGCAGTGGAAACATAAGTACTCGAAGCTCGAAAAGGGACGGAATGCACTGCGGGAAGCTGTGCACTTACTTCAACAGGAGGTTGAAAGAGCTCAAGCCGAGAATTCCAATCTCAAGAAAGGTAAATTTTATAGGATCTATAGGATCTTTGAGACATTAAAAATTTAGTATTGTTAAGTAAGCTGTTGAAATGTTAATAATTTCTGAACATGGCTCACTTGGATTGTGGGATGTTAACGAAATTTACGTCTGAAGCTCCTTTCAAGTAGCTGTAAATTGGGTACCTGTTTGTTTTATGTTGAAATTTTTTAAAGTTTTAGTTAGTTGTCAAAGCAGGTTATACTTTTTTAGTTCCCTTCCTGTTCAAATTTATGCTTTAATGTTGTTAGTTTACCCGTGAGATTTTGTATGTTTCATGTTAAACACGATGTCACTTTATGTGTCGAAATCTAGAACCAGATGCAAAACTAGGTTAAAATGAAATGCTTTTCTGAAGCTGTCCAGTCAATATGCAATGTTAGTTTGTAAATAGTTATGATAGAGAGTGTGCTTATAACTTTTCCAAGTGACTGACCTCCTTTTCTTGCTTTTCTAACTCTGTACTTGCAGCACTAGAGGAAGAGCGAGCACGGGCAGATATTGAGAAAGAGGAGAAAGAAAACGCATCTGCTGCTAGAATATCTTTGGAGAAAGAAATTTCTGGGTTGAAATCTGATATTTCCCTAAAGCCGACAGGAAATGTAGATGCTCAATATAGAAGTGAACTAAACCTTCTCAAAGCAAAAGTTTCTGACCGGGACAAGGAAATTTATCGTCTCAATGTTCATATTGAGAGAGAGAAGAAAAGGGCAGACTCAGCATGTAAGAATGCCAATGTTGAGAAAGAGGAGAAAGTAAAAGAATCTGCTGCTAGGGCATCTCTGGAGAACGATATTTCTGGGTTGAAATCTGAGATATATTCTCTAAAGCAGAGAGAAAATGCAGATGCTGAAGATAAAGGTGAAGTAAACCTTCTTAAAGCTCAAGTTGCTGACTATGAAAGGGAAATTAATCATCTCAAGAAGCTTATTGAGAGAGAGAAGAAAAGGGCAGACTCAGAAAGTAAGATTGTTGAAGTGGAGAAGAAGAAGGCTTCTGAAGCACGAAAAGCTGCTAAAGCTGAAAAAAGTAAGGCTGATGACGAAAGGAAGCATGCCAATACTGAAAGAGAAAAGGCTGAGAATTATGAGCTTCAGTTGGAGGCGCTGAAGAAAGAAGCTCATAAAGCACGTTCTGATTTGGCTTCTGAGACATTGAAGCTTGTTGAGGCAAACAAGGAGATTGGGGGAGAAAAACAGAAGGTGGTCAAGGAGAGAAAGATTGCAAATTCAGAGAAGGCCAAGGCTGAAGAGCAAAGGAAGTTTGCTGAAGCCAATAGGAAGATGACTATGGAAGAAAAATGTCATGTTGAAAGATTGTCTTTGGAATTGGTAGAGTGTAGGAAAAAGATCGATGAGTTACAGAAGGAGATAAATGAAATTAGGCGTTTAAGAGAATCGGATGAGGCTGCAAACGCCCAATCTGATAACAATAGAAGTGGGGTAGCTTTCCAAGAGAGTAAATCAGATGAACTGAAGTTGGTTTTGGAGCATCCATATTTTGAGGAAGTGAACAAAAGGTATGAAATTGAAAAACAGAAGGTAATAAAGGAGAAAAAAGGGGCAGAATCAGAGAGGGTGAAAGCTGAAAAGCAGAAAAAGCTTGTGGAAGTGAATTGGAAGAAGGCTATGGAAGAAAAATCTCGTGCTGATCATCTGTCTAGGCAGTTGGGCGACGCTAAGAAGAAAATTGTGGAATTATCCTCCAGAAAATTGATTGATGCATCTGCTGTAGAACTTCAAAAAGATAGGGGTGCTGAAAGTGTAGAAGTGAATTATTTGAAGAAACAACTTAAGTTTGAGAAAAAGCAAAAAAAACATGCTAAAGAAGTGGTCAAGCTGGAAAGAAGTCGTAACAGTATCTTGCAACGAGAACTAGGTCGCTTGCAAGTGGAGTTTGATCAATTTTCACAGCGCCTGGGTATGCTAAATAAAGCTTTCTCACATAGTGCTGAAGGTATAGACAACCCAAAAAAGGTTCGTTTTCTTCAGCCTAATCTCTATTGCTACCATATTTCCATTTGATTTTGTAGATAATTAGTGTTGTTAGCTTTCATGATAGTGTTTAGGAATCTATACTCGGAGCATAATGTACATGTTTTAGCATTTGCTACAGCTACTGTTGATTTATTTTCTTTTTTCAGGCTTTGTTGATGACAAATGAACCTTATTCATCTAATGGCTTTTAGTGTTGTAATCTGGTTCGATGATTGGAAAGTTTTAGAATAATACCAGAATAACACTAACAAGGTTCAAACTTCAAAAAGGTGTCTTAAGTTGGTGAGTCATATGTTTGAACTCTTTAGTCTAGCCCTGAAACGTTTCTTTTACCTCCAAGTACAAGTAGAAACATAGGAAAGAAAATACTCAGCTCCTCTTTTGTTCTCTTCTTAGAAATGGGGAAAACGTGATAATTTTACTCTCGCACCTATTTTGTAGTTGTAGTTTTGTGTCAGAGAGTTGCATGTTTCCTTTTACATGTGACTTATGCCAGTTAACCTTTCAAATATTTAGTTTTGCTTCCAATGCATGGGTTTTTATTTAATATTTTTGGGTATGTCTTGTCTTTAACATGCATAATCTTTCTTTCTTGGACTTTTACACTATTTACCCGAATATTATCAGTAATTTGAATTTCACAACATTGTAGTTCTTTTCTGTTTACTGAAATGGACTTGTGCAATTTGTAGATGAACCTTCAAAGTGGAGTTAAGCGTCTCAAGCCTTGCAGCCCAGTTTTGGATGCAAGGGAAGCCACGCAACATACTGCACCATTTCTTCTTTTATCTGGAGGAAATTGCAGTGATTCTATCTCAGGTATTGATTCTATATTGGAGTCTCCAGTCAGAGGCTCTAACCGAAAAATGTTAGAGAGTTGTGCAATACATTCCAGTATGGAATCTTTTTCTGATAGACAGTTGTTGGGCTCACAGGAAAAATTGGTTGAAGAGAATGTGCAACCAACAATATCCAACTTGTCTGCTGAGGTTACCAAAATAAATTGCAATGAAAATGCTGCTGTGGTTGCTGAAAACAGTGTCAGAAGTCCTGTTAGAACCGATGGGGTTGGAAGAGTTAATGAGCATAGCAGGAAAAGAAAGAGGATACTTCAGGTAGTTGAATCAATTGAGAGTTTATATACAGAGGGTAAGCAGTTGCACCTGCGGGTAGAGGAAAACCTTTCTGTTTTGCATTTTTTGTTGGACAAGCAAATGAAAATACCTTATGAAGAAGGGAGATATCTCCTTCCTAGTCTGCAGGGTAATGCAATGCATGGAATGCTATATGAAAAGGGAAATGAAGGTATTGAAGATAAATTGGCAATGCAGAAATATGCTGACAGTAATGAGGAAAATATGGCCGATAAATTTGAAAATGAAGTCTTTGGATGTGCAAATGTTTGCAGACAAGTTCCATTAAATGCTAATGAGCTGATAGGGGTTGCTCAAGCAAGCAGAAAAGGCATAAATGGGTCTGCTACAAGTGATTTTGAAACTTTGCCAAGTTTTGATGAAGTAACTGATGGGGACTACCTGAAACTGTTAGACTTGGACAATGCTTCTGATGAGGAATGCTACAGGATGGCAATGGAAATGCCACTGTCTCCTACACTTCCTGAGATTGAGGTTCAAGGCCTTGAAGCATACAGTGCAGATAAGATTAAACCTTCATTAAAGGAATCCTACTGTGAAGGATTGTCAAGTAAAGAAAAACGGCCACCCTCTTGTGGAGTTGAAGTTGATGCTCTTGACATACTAGGGAAGAGCGGGAACGGTTTGGGTAATTCTGCAATTACAAAAGCTTGTGATCTCGAGGACTCTGGTGCTGGACTGATGTCTGATGCTCCGTTTGCAAGAAACGTGGAGGCTGTTTTCCCCCTTGGAAGTGAACTTGGATATGTGGTGTTATGTAATTTTAAAGACAGCAGCAGCATTTCTAGGATACGTTATGCCTTCAGAGCTTGTATTACACAATGCCCTTTGGTTACTGATACAGATTGGAGGGTGCGAGAAACTCTGCTTGCTCTCAAGACTGAAGAAAAACTATTTCCCAAGTCAATACTCTCTCTCTCTCTCTCTCTCTCTCTCTCATGGTCCTTATGTTGATCTTAATCTTGTTTTATTTTCGAACTGCCAAGTTGGTATATATAAAGAGGTCTTATGCTTAGTTTACTAGTGGATATATGTTCTAATTGATTTATTTTGGTGATCCTGTATAGGGAAAAGGTTTGCGTATTGTTTTCATTGTTGCTGCTTAACTTCTCCACTGCTGCTTTGAGTAAATTTGGGAGCTTGAATTGGATGTCAACCCCCTGCTTGGATTCTTATGTTGGACACATGTGCTCAGGTCTGTTGATTTTTTTCCCTGATCATGTTTGTTATAATTTAGAAAGCCATTATTGGTTTCATCCTGGATTTTGTTCATTAATCATACTGTTTTTTCCCTTTGTGCAGTGATGTCTGATTGGGAAGGGAGAAGCATATTTGCAGAATTTGGTAGTTTGGAGGAATCACTTAATATCATGGAGGAATTCCTAATAAATGGAAGATTTGTGGTGTGTAAGGACAAATCTTCAGAGATCCTGATTGATGGGGTTCATATATCCTCTCGACCTGCATCAGCCGATGAGTTGGTAGCAGGGAGCATTGTATTAGCATCAATATGTGCAGCAATTGACCACACTGGTTCTATTTGCGAGATGTCTTACAATATTTTGCTGATAAGCTGGTCCAATCATTCATTGATTCTGACTATCCTACATGTTTTTGCTTATCTGGGTGGAGAGAAGTTTTTTAACTTTGGCAATTCCAATTTAGTGATTATTTTGAAATCTATTGTTACATACCTTGAGGGAGTAAGCTCATCAGATACTGCTAGTTCTTTTATTCCATCTGCGAGCAATTCTCGAACCATGTTCAGTCCATGTATCAATTGCCCATTTTTTGAGGATGCTGTTTCTATGGATTCTGCTACATCATTGCTTTTAGAAAGGCTCCAAATGAATGCTTCTATTCATTCAAACACTACTACCAATTTCATGGATTGTGATCTCAGTGACCTCCTATCATTGGTGGAGTTGGTTGCAATAAACATGGTATGTGTTAATATCCTTCTGAGTATGAATTTTCTCAATTTGCTGTTGTCTTTTCGGTTTTGATAATTTATTGGTTTATTAGGTACTAATTTTTGGACTTGCTGCTGGTTTTTCTCTTTTGAATGCAGAGTTGGGAATGGACAAGTGCTAATATTATCCCTCGGCTTTTAAAAGTTATGGAATCATGCATGGCTGAGAATGTGATTGCTGGAATTATTGTTCTCCTTGGTCAACTTGGGAGGTATGTCTTTGATTACTTTCCCTTGCATTTTCCTTTTTCTTTTTCTGCTGGAATTATTGTTCTTCTTTACTTTCTTCTAATCTTTATATAAAGCCAAATGTCGTAATGGTACTTCTGCCAGTACTTGAGTTTAACGATATGTTACTTGTTTTCAGGATTGGAGTTAATGACCTTGGATATGGAGATAAAGAAGTTGAAATCTTGAGGGGGGAATTATCTGCATTTTTATGTCGGGACTCTGCAACGAGTGTCAGTCTTCCTACTCAAATTGCCACTGTTACGGCATTGTTGGGGCTTCTCTCTTCTGATTTCAAAACAATTATTCAGAATAATGCGAACTCTGCAGCCATTGCAAGTCAGTCCGGTCCAGCTGAGTCTATAAGAAAGTGGTTTTCTTTGCTGCCGAAGAAGCAACAAGATTTTTCATTCGACCTTCTACAAACACCTGGTGTAAATAAGACCCGAGCCTGGGACACTGTCTTGCAAAGCTGACTGCAAGGGTTCTCTGATGTGTTGAACTGTACACGTAGATTGTTGTGAGAATCGTTGAAATTTTCTTCTCGTTGGGAGAATTGAGGTTAATCTGGAGTAGGAAATTTTGTTGATTTCGACCATTGAGTAGGCTGCAAATCTTGGAGAAATTGAGGATTCAGAGACATCCGACGTGAATGCGTTTTTGTTATTTTCACCGAAGAACTTTGTAAGTTTCTAAGCCAGTTACTGTGATGGAGTGTAGATTTTGTTTTGAAATTCATTGCACCAGATGTGTAAATTTTGTTGAGCTTTAACCTTTCCTGCAAATACATCACTTTAAATTCTCGATCAACTTACCATGCCTGGCAGTGGCAGAGTGTGAAATAAGTTTTATTCTTTTCCTAAACATCTTAATTGGCATATTGTAAGGTACAGAAGAGAGCAAATTGCAAAAATGTCTCGGGACAAAAGGACACTTGACAATTTGAAGAAAAGAGGTATCATAGTAACCAATTCCAAAAACTAGATTATTACACTATGCAATTGGCGTTTTAGTACCACACAATAATTTGTTTGAAAAACATATAGAGACAAATTTGCAGAATATTTTATTATATTATAATGTATGGCCTACATCTGAAGAATATTTTATTCATTTTTCAGTACCACACATTTCTCCGAAAATTATACAGTAACGATAAAATTTGCAGAAAATTTTACTATATTATAATGTAGGCATACACCTAATGAATAAAAGGTTAAGATGTGTGGCCAAGTATCGAATGGCTAAGGATCTAATCGCTTAAATCTCAGCATATCCCATGCATCAGTGCATACTAGAGAAACCCTAAAATTTGTATTTTAAGAGTTAAATTGGTGGGTAAAGGCAAGAAACAAATTTGTCATCTGCTCTCTCAAATTAAAAACAGAGATCAAACAGAAATGAAGGTCAGAGAAAGAAAATCCCGGTATTACTTTCAACATATGTGGCATGAAATACCAGATGATTCTTAAAAGAAAAGGGAGTTTTAATGAAAAATCCGCGGTACTGTTCATTTTAACGAAAAATCACATTTTTACACAAAAAAATCAATCCTGATACTATTCACTTTACCTTTTATTTTGTCCTTATCGTTAGAACTCAAAGTTTTTAAGTCCTTTTCATTAGTTTTCCTAAAAGAAAATGCTAGCCGCTAATTCCTTCACTATGGGAAATCTTACAAGACTTATGTTGCTCGGTACTGTTTGGTAAGAAAATATTAACTTTTCTAATGACTAACTTTTCACATGCTGGTTGATCCATATAAGCTTACGAGGTGGATTTTTTGCTTATGTTTTTTCACTTGATATCTGCATATGAAAAAGCACTTGATTTCATCATAGAAACAGGACACAAAAGAATTTTTTTTTGAGGTCCTTTTACTCATTATGCCTGGCATTGAATAGACAGGGAATTCACCTAAACCTGAAGAAACATTTGTTTCAAACCTCTGTGACTTCAAACAAAGAAGGAAGAGGAGGGATGCTTTGTTCATTCCTGAAGAAGTTATCTGGATCGACCTTGTTCTTCACCTGTGCCAGCCTCTTGAAGTTACCCCTGAAGTACCTTGTGCCCCAAGTACTTGCCTCCAAGTAGCTTGTGTTTTGCTCGTTGGCACCCAAATCAAGGTCCTTGTAATTGATATAGGCACCCCTTGGGGACCTAGAAACATAAGGGCTCATGAATCTGTAAAGCATTCTTATCCAGTGGATATGCTTGTTGGTTTCCTCCACTCCAATTCCATCCCACTTCACTATGTACTGTATGTTGAACAAATTACCTTTTCTGTGAGGAAATGGGATTTCATGTTCTGAGATCTCATTCATTTTGCCACCGTATGGATCCAAAATTATGTACACATTTTGTTCCTGCTGAAACCTCTCCCAAATCCCTTGGAGTCCCGATTCGGGTATTGGGTTCTTCACAAAGTCGGATTTAGCCTTGAAATTCATCTTCCAGAGGGGATTTCTAGATAGCAAGACATCTGAGGGCTGGTCTTTTTGGAATCCAGCAAAATACTGGGCAGATTGGATCCAACTCATCTCAATGCAGTCTTTTGCCTGCAATCCCAGCTCTGGAAAGCTCAGCTTCATCAGTGGGATTAACCTGTCAATTTTTCCAAGAAACAGTGATTGGAAAGATGCTTGAACCGTTTTCTGATTCCCACTCCCCACATTCTGAATTATGACTCTGATGAAAAGATCTTCATGAAATTTGTCTGCAATATGTTGCCACCTGTGAACAAGGCTGGTAGCTCCTTCTGCTAGGGTTTTGTCAACTGTAAAACCTGTCACGATTTTTGGAACCTGAACCAATTTGATTTTCCATGAAACTATGATCCCAAAACTTGATCCCCCACCTCCTCTAATGGCCCAAAACAAATCCTCACCCATTGTTCTTCTGTCAAGGATTCTTCCATTCACATCAATTAACCGAGCATCTATGACATTGTCAGCTGCTAGGCCATGCTTCCTGATTAGGGTTCCAAACCCACCTCCACTCAAGTGCCCTCCAATCCCAACAGTAGGGCATAAACCTCCTGGAAATCCATGGACCCCACTTTTCGTGGCAATGCTATAATAAAGCTCACCAAGTGTAGCTCCTGACTGCACCCAAGCTGTTTCATCTGCAAGGTTGACCTCGAGGGAACGGAGATTGATGAGGTCAATGATGATAAATGGGGTTTTGCAGAGGTAAGATAGGCCTTCATAGTCATGTCCTCCACTTCTAACCCTGACTTGCAGGCCAAGTTTCCTGCTGCAAAGAACACCTGCTTGGATTTCAGACTCATGGGAAGGTGTGACAAGGAGAAGAGGCTTTAATGTGGAGTTTAACCACCTAGGGTTTTGCTGGGAAGATTGCAAAAGAGATGAATACAAAGAAGAGTTTGAGGTGTGAATGTTTTGGTCAGAAATTTTGCTGTAGTCTGCCATGCACTGACAGAAATTTTCACCACTGATTGAAACAGAAGTTACCGAAGCAATTGAGACCAAGAACAAAGAAGCTAGTAGTGCAATGAACTCCATCTGTTTCAGGAATTTAGGCCTTTAGATTTTGATAGATTGGTTTGGCTACATACATACATATATATATATATATATGTATGTATGTATGTATGTATGTATTTTGAGTGGTATATTTTCTTGGTGGGGGTGGAATATTTAACTTAACTAGCTATTAGATATGCTGAATTCGGCTTGTTTTTACTTCTGCTCATCCGCTGCGTGTATAGGAACAAAACCAAAGAAAGCGATGATTCCGATGGAGTGAATTGAGAATATCTATCATCTGCCACATTAAAACCAAAGGTTGTCCCTTGCTTATAATTTAGTCGGCACTCGGTATTTGAAGTTACTCTTACTGTTTTCTTGTTAAAATTGTAATCAATAATGTGTTGAGACGCAAGTCATCTAACTTTATTTTATAAAATATTTAACTATTTCAATGTCAAATTATGATTTGATGATAAGTAAAAAAAATAAGCATATAAAAGCTAATGAGTGTTTTAATATTTTGTCACTTTTCAGAGTTAAGCACTAGTTGAAGGAGCCAACTGAATTCATTCTTATTAATGAAGTATAGTAGCCAATTCCACTTGGTGCAAATTGGCAAAATATATAGGCTAATGCATGTGGGACTTCCATATGCTTTGAGTTCTGCATGGTTGCAAGCCAACTAAGTACAAAGCTCCATCTAGAACGAAATCTTCATCATATATAGTTAAATGCACCGGCTAGCTCTCACTCTCTTTTCAAGGAGAAAAATTTCATTGTAACAGGAATACGGATGGTATACCATATGTTTTTATGTAAGTAGTGAAAAATTTTATTTTTTAAGTTATTAACTTAGCTTAAATGTCAAAATGGTCCCTGTGTTATAGGCATATGGTCAATTTAGTTCCCGTGTTTTCAATTCAGCCAATTTAGTCCTTGTGTTTATCTCTATTAGCCAATTAAGAATATTTCATTCAATCTCTGTTTAAAAATTCATAAGAAAATTCATAAGATATAATTACCCTTCCTCTTATATGATAATAGCACATATAAGAGAATAAATTTTCTTTTATTTTATAGTTTTATTTCATTTTTAAATATTTTAAATCAAATAAATTTTTTTATAAATAACTTTATAATAATTTATGAATTTTTTATAACAGATATTAGATGGAAATGTCTTTAATTGGCTCACAGAGATAAACACAAGGATCAAATTGGCTAAATTGAAAACACAAGAACTAAATTGGCCTAATGATTGAAACACAGGGACCCTTTTAACATTTAAGCTTATTAACTTTTTAATACACAAATCTTATCATTTGTATAATAACACGTGATGCATCATCTTGTGTGCCGATCACATTGAAAAATCTCTCCTCTTCGAGGGTGAAAAATGCCTGACTCGATCCTCCTGTTCTAGGCTTCTAGGAGCAACATGTGTTGAAAGGGTCATATCTGCTGACATTTTCAAACGTGATGCGGCACATACAAGGGTTTGATAGTTATCCACATTACTGATCCACTATTTTATATGTTTCTCGTTGTTCTTCTATGTCGTACACATTTATTTAAGTGTCACATAAGTTTTTACTGTGATAACTCTAATTGTCTTAAATATAAGCGAATTTCGGTAAAAAGTTACATATTTATTTAAGTGTCATGTAAGTTTTTATTGTGATAATTCTAATTGTTTTAAATATAAGCGAATTTCGGTAAAAAGTTATTCTGGTCATCAAGTCAATTAGCCGTTTTATTTAACGTGACTAGAGTTTTGAATGGAAAAGATTTTTTAACCGCATTGAATATCATGACCTAAAACTGAATCATGCTTATAAGGATTGTTATCCCATTCATTAATCTTGCGGAATCGTTCCTTGTTCAACTATGGTGGTCTAATCTTCTCATTAGCCTTGCTATATCTGACAACTGGATTGGCCTTTGCTAAGCCCTCTCTGCCCAATGCTGAGTTAAGTGACTCGAGAGCCATATCAGGCGTGCCAATCAAACTCACCCCCCATCCCAGTTAAAAAAAAAAATACAGCAAAAAGGATGGAGGGAGGGTATTATTAAAATTCGTCAATTTGATTATAAAATCAAACAACTCTTAAATTGGCACAAAATTTTGCTCACTTTTGAAGAAGTTTTCATAATCAACCTTACCCTTTATCTTGGCTAATCGCTCAAAATTTCCCTTGAAATACTTTTCACCCCAAACCTTTGCTTCCTCCAAAGTTCCTTTGATATTTCTTCCAATGTCCAAGTCCCTGTAGTTAATATATGCAGTCCTAGGGTTTTTGGTCACAAATAGAGCCATGAAGTTGTAAACCCTATTGATCCCTTCCAAATGCTTCTTCTCAGCCAAAGCTCCCCCCTCAAACCACTTCGTGAAGTACTGAATGTTGTACAAGACTCCAGCTCTATGTGGAAATGGAGTAAAATCTTCTGAAATCTCAGCCATTTTTCCACCATAAGGATCCCAAATCATTATTCCAGGAGCCTCACCGTCTTGCATCACCTTCCATATGGCTTCTAAGTGCTTTTCTGAGATGGGTTTTGTCACAAAATCACTTTTGGCTTTGAAAAAGCCCTTTTGCACATGGTTTCTGTCCAACAAAAGCTCTAATGGCTGCCCTGGGTTCTCACCATTAATGTAGAAAATAGATTGAATCCAGTTTATCTCCTTGCAGTCCTCAGGCTTCAAACCCAACTCGGGAAAGCTCTTTTTCATCAATGGGACTAGTTGATCAATGGTGCCAAGAAACAAGGCATTGAAGTTGGCCTGGATTGTTTTGCCACCACTGGAACCTTTTCCCACAAAAAGAATGACTCTTATGAACAGATCTTTATGAAACTTGGATGCGATGGCTTGCCACCTGTGAACCAATTTGGTTGCGTTTTGTTCTAGGGTTCTGGGGATTGTGAAAACCGTGACCTTCGGAGGGACCGGAGCCAACTTGATCTTCCATTCAAGTACAACTCCAAAGCTTGCAGCTCCACCTCCTCTAATGGCCCAAAACAAGTCCTCTCCCATCGATTGTCTGTCAACAATACCTCCATTTGCCGTTACCACGATTGCATCCACAACATTATCACTTGAAAGCCCAAATTTCCTCATCAACACGCCCTGACCTCCACCGCTGATATGTCCACCAACACCAATAGTAGGGCAAACACCGGCTGTGAAACCGAGTTTTCCTCTGCTCTTTTTGGCAACATGGTAGTAAAGCTCACCAAGTGTTGCACCGGATTGAACCCATGCAGTGTGTTCTTTGCTGTTAACTTTAACCTTATTAAGCTTGACGAGATCGATGATGATGAAGGGTACATCAGCTTTGTAAGAGAGGGCCTCATAGTCGTGACCCCCGCTTCGAATCCTGACCTGCAAGCGATGTATTTTGCTACAAATGATGGCAGCTTCCACGTGTTCGTATAGATAGGGTGTGATGATGTATTGAAGCTTCTGATTCGTGATGTTGAATCTGAGGTTTTGGATGGAGGACTCAAAGACAGACGAAAATGAAGGGGAATGAGGATCGAACAAAAATGTGCTTACGTTGGTCAAGGATCCTGTCAAATGGAAGCCAACGCAACTATAAAAATTCAATTCCGGGATGAGGTCATATGTTGCAGAAGAAACTGAGAAGAGAGAAACTATTGCAAATGTTAGAAGGTGAGCCATGATTTGCTTCCCCTCCAATATTTTACTTCTGTTAGCTGCTTCATTTATACTTTAATTTTTTGTCCTAAAATACGTAAGAAAAAATTAACGGGAAGAAAATTAAAGAACATTAAAACTGAAATAAAAAATTTCCTTATTAATGATATCAGTTATAAAGAATTATTCTTGTGTCTGTATAGAACGTTTGAACATTTTCTTGAAATACAATCAATGGTCAGTTAGCAGGTTCTGCAAAGGAAAATTAAAACGACGTATTAACTTTTGTTTGCAACCCTTTGAATTAATGAGTAAAACTCTTTTGAGCGTATTATTTTTTTGGGTAAAATACAAAAAACTACCTCGACTATTGGTGTCACGATACTTTCATACCTTATCTTTTAAAATTGACAATGTCATACCTCATCTTACGAATTTGTGCCAATGCCAGACCTCCGTCAGTTTTTCTCTTAATTTCTCTGTTAAATGCTGATGTGGCCCGACACATGTCCCACTCACTAATCCAACTGGATTAAAAAATAATTAAATATTAAAAAAATAATATATATATATATATTAAATCTCTCTCTCTCCTCTCCCCCACCTTTTCTTGCCTCTCTCTCTTCTTTGCATCCCAGAAGACCCAAAACCCCCTCCCACCCGTCCTCCACTACCCTTTCTCTCCCCTCTCTCTCGCCTCTCCTTCTCCTCTCCACTGTAGTCTCCTTCCTCCCCACTTCTCTCTCTCACTGTGCCCAGAACCGCCCAAACCCACCTTGGTTTTTTCATCCACCAAACTCTTGCCCATTGACTCGTCCCCCTAAACTCTTGCCCATTGACCTGTCCCCCCAAACTCTTGCCCATTGGCCCGTGTCCCCCCCACTACCCACAGACTCGGACTTCGTCGCAAATCAGACCGGTTCCCAGTCCGAGTTCAGGTCGACGCCATCGTTTTGGGCGTCCAGGTGCAAATCAAGGGTGGCAGAGTGAGGGAGGCGGAGTAGTCGAGGAAGATGATGCGGTGGAACGGCGTAGTTGCGATCTCCAGACCGTATTTTTGCAAATAGGTTCAGAGCCAATCTCAGCGCCGCCGCCGCCCTCCTCCGCACACTCATCATCTTCAATAAACTTCAACTTCGAATTCGAACCCATCAAACTCATCAATTCTTTCTTTGTAATCAACAACTAGGCCCCATAGAACAATTCTAAAGTGGCAGGGGAGAATCTAGCATTTGATCCCAACTTCAGCTCATCAACCTCCGCCATTGCGGATCGATCGAAACTTGGCCGTTCGAAGCTCCGCCGTTGTTGTGAATTGTAATAGTCTTTGGTCTGAGCTGAGCCGCCTGGACTCCTCTCCCAGCTCTCTTCCATAACCGAAACCATCAGGGTCAGCCTCGGGTGAGGGGCTCTCGAACCCAAATACCCGTCCCAAGAAGCCGGAGGCTCGTCCAATGACATCCGACCCGGATCGGGATTCGTATCGCACGATCTTCTCCCCAATGCGTACTCTCCTACTTCGGACTGGGTCTCCCTCCTCTTCTTCGCCACGAAGCCCTCGTTCTCAGCCTTCTTCGTCTTCTGCTTCTGCCGCCATTGATTTACCTTTTTATTCAAAACCGACGTCATTCTCCAAAACCAGATCCACCCCTCACCCTTTTTCCCCCCTCCCGTCTTCCCCAAACCCAAAACTCAAAACCTCGTCGAAGCGTTGGGCTAGCTGTTTCAGCGCCATCGTCACCTGGTACGGCGACCTGTGAGGGGATTTATTGTCCAAGTCCCACAAGATCACGACTTTCTTCTGCTTCGGCATGTATATGCCCTGCTTGTTTTCAACCATGTCGATTTCAGAGCTTGCAGATGACTTGATGATAGTGCGGCGGCAATTCGTGGTGGTTAAGGTGACGGTAGTGGTGATGATGGAGAAATGGGTGGTGGGGGACGGGTAGGAAGGGGTTTTGGGTTGCAGAGGAGAGAGGTGAGAAAGGGGGAGAGAGAGAGAGAGAAAGGAGAGAGTGAGAGAGATTTAATGTATATATATTTTTAATTTTTGAATATTTAATTATTTTTTAATCCAATTGGGTTAGTGAGTGTGACACATGTCGGGCCACGTCAGCATTTAACAAAGAAATTAACAGAAAAACTGACGGAGGTCTGACATTGGCACAAATTCGTAAGATGAGGTATGACATTGTCAATTTTAAAAGATGAGATATAAAAGTGTCGTGACACCAATAGTTGAGATAGTTTTTTGTACTTTACCCAAATTTTTTTTTCTGATAAAATAATAAAATTGCAAAGAAAAGTCTCGGCAGCAATTCCACTAAAGCAATCAAACTGCTAGGCATACAAAGCTTCATGAGGCAAAACATAGTGTTGATAAACCCATCTTATTGATTTATCTCTCCATCCACATTTTAAAATAAATAAATAAATAAAATTCATACCAATTTTACCTTCTTATAAAATGACATCTAAGACCAAAGCAAAAAAAAAAAAAAAAAAAAAAAAAAAAGAAAAGATTTTCTTCTTTGTTCACAATCTCTCTGCAACTGTCTCAATTCCTTCAAATAAAATGGAATACCCAAAAAAGGAATTGGGCTTGAAGGGATGAGATTGGATTGTCGAGAATTTGGAAATTGGGCATACAAATGAAATTTTCGGAACGGGGCATGAGGCTTGGTCGTGAGATTTGGGAGGGAGAGGGAAGGTGGTTGCGTTGGGGGTCTGAAGAGAGGGAAGGATGGACAGTTCCACTGAAGATCTGATAAATGACCGATCTAAAATTCTAACTGGGACAAAAATTGAGAAGTGAGGCCTTAGAGGTGAATGGAGGCTCGGCTGGACTTATCAACACTCTAATAGTTATCAACACTCTAAGCCACCCACCTTTTCGTCTAGATAAAGAATATTATTAAAATCTCCAAGAAGGATCCAAGGAGCATTAGCAGGCTGAAGATGAAGTAACTCATTCCAAAGTTGAGGTTGGTTTTCTTTCTGGGGATAATCATACACAACATAGAAACCAAGGAGCACCAGCTCTCGAATCAGTGGCTACAGAATGGATGTACCGAGCATGTGAATGGAGAACAGTAACAGAAATAGAATTTGATTTTTCCATAACGAAAAAAGACCACCACTTTGTGCCCTAGTTGCCTTGGAGACCCTCTCCCCATTTTCTTACCGTTTTCCCCCCTTTTTGAGCTTATGGTTACCTACATTTTGTTGAGAATTATTTACAAATTAGTTGATGAGTATAATTAACTGTAAATTCTTCTTTTATATAACTTAGCTGAATGACTAATGCCTAAAAATTAGAGAAAAGTTGGGCTAAGCCATATTTTTTATAAGGCATATTATATTCTAAACTACTTTAATCAACAGGGAAGGGGTTTCGAACTTGGGTGTAAGGGGGCTAGCATACTATCCTAGCCAACTAGTCTAATCTCATCTATGATGAGAAATATTGTATTTAAATTATCTACCACAATAAACTCATTGTTGCAGAGAGTGCAAATTAGCAACATTACACTACTTTACAAAACAGAGACTAGAGAATAGAGGGCAAATAGACTTCTCTGAATTTTTATTCCAATGTATATAATTGGCTACACAGAAGCATATACAGAGCACACAGATCATAGCAACGAAACCCTTGAGCTTCTGCAAACACCATATCGAAGCTCCTAGCCATCTATATATGGCCTTGAGTTTGTGGAAGAGGCGGGATGCTTTGTTCATGCCTGAAGAAGTTATCAGGATCAACTTTGGTCTTAACTTTCACCAATCTATTAAAATTGTCCTTGAAGTACCTGTAACCCCAAGAATTTGCTTCAATAAAGCTTGTACTGCTCTTTTTATTAGTCCCCAAATCAAGATCCCTATAATTCACGTATGCCTGCCTTGGAAACATTGTGACATAAGGAGCCATGTAACTGTAAAGCTTCCTAATCCATTCCATGTGCTCTGCCTCATCTCCAGCCTGCCATACAGTCAAGTACTGAATTTTGAAGAGAACATTTCTATGGGGAAAAGGTATTGCGCTTTCAGAAATCCTGCTCATCATTCCGCCATAAGGATTCAAAAGCATCACTGGAGAGGTTTCTTGCAGCAGCCTCTTCCATAGCCCCTCGAGCGCAATTTCTGGAATCGGGTTCTTGACGAAGTCTGACTTGGCTTTGAAGTAGATCTTGGGTAGGGTAGCTTTTCCTTGTAGCAAAATCTCAGTAGGAGTTCCACTTGGGTACCCTGCTATATATAGCACCGATTTGATCCAACTTGTTTCAGTACAATCATTTCTTGTCAAACCCAATTCAGGGAAGCTTTGTTGCATAACATTAAGTAATCTTTTAGAATCTCCAAGAAATTGAGCTTGGTAAACAGTTGTGATAGTGTTATTGCCCGTTTTGCTATCATTTGATACTTGTATGAAAACTCTGATAAAGAGATCTTCATCAACAAATGGAGCTACTTGTTGCCATCTATGGAGGAACTTTGTGGCACCTTGTTCCAACGTCTTCACAACTGAAAAAACTGTCACATTTTGTGGAACTGGAACCAACTTTATCTTCCACCAAAGGATGATTCCAAAGCTTGCTCCTCCACCTCCTCTTATTGCCCAAAACAAGTCCTCTCCCATTGCTTTCCGATCAAGAATTTTCCCATTCGAGTCTATGATTCGTGCATCAACGGCGTTATCAGCACCAAGGCCATATTTTCTCATCATGGAACCATATGCACCTCCAGTTATATGCCCACCAACTCCTAGACTTGTGCAGATCCCGGCAGGATAACCATGAGTTTGGCTTTTCTCTGCAATTCGGTAGTAGAGTTCACCAATGGTGGCACCAGCTTGAACCCATGCAGTGTTGGATTTAATATCAACACTGACGGATCGAAGCTTGGCAAGGTCAACAACAGCGAAAGGTGTTTCGATTTGGGAGACATAGGAGAGGCCTTCATAATCATGGCCTCCACTTCGGAACCTGAGATGGATTCGAAGCTTTTTCGCGCAAATAAAGGCGGCTTGCACATGAGAATCATGCACCGGTGTGAAAATAAAATCCGGCTTTGGCACTGAAGAGACCAAGTACCGGAGGTTTTGTGCAGATGATTCAAGGACAGCAGTGAAGCTAGAATTTTTTGGAGTGAGAAAGTCTGAAGAGAATGGAATGGAAGTGTTAGAATAATGCGAGAGGCACTGGATGAAATTTTCTTGTGTTGAAGGTGGAGGATGTGCCCATGAAGTTGATAGCACAAGGAAAAGATAAAGAGAAGAAATTGAAAAGATTGGAAGCATTTTGTTTTGCTTGTTGGAAGTTCGATGGTGCTGAGGAAATAGCCAAGTGTCTTGTGCAGCTTTATAGAAGTTTGAAGGTCTCTTAGTGGATATGGAATCATTTTAATGGATATCAAATCATTTTAGTGATATGAAATCATTTTGGATTGAATTTCGCCTTTGACAAGAATTAAACATAAGATTTTGTACTTATAAGTGAAGAAAAATACTACTAAATCGTAGTATTAAGTGAAATTAAAAACTCATTTAAATATGTTATTCATAATTGACAGTAGGGGGAAATTTTTACCAAATTACTCTACCAACCGTCCTACCAACCATACCATACCAAATTATTACCAAAAATTTGTACCAATTGGTAATGGTACAATATTTGTATCGTACCATACTATTTCGGTACGGTACTGGTATCCAAAATCAGTACTGGTGGTATACCGTACCTACCAATATTATTAATATTATATTATGTATTTATTTATATAATTATTTGAGGGAAAAATTAATAAAATTAATAATAATTATTGTAGAAGTGTAAAAAATGTAAAAAAAAAAATACACAATCACTCATAGTGATGAGCTTTACAACTTTCATGAAGAGGTCAGCTTCAAAATCCAACACTATAATCCATAAACCTTAAATTTATATTTAATCGTCGATTGTCATTTACGTTTTATTCTTCTTACTGAATTTCATTTTTTTAAGTTTTCTTTTTTGAAAACATGATCATCTGGCGGATGTAAGAAGATGAACGGTTCAGATCTTTGATATCACGTTTTGATATTTACAGTTAACTGAAATATGAGTCGATGTCATATAGTTTGTAAAAACTTTATAAACATCAAGCAATATTTTCACTAACTATAAAACTCTGAACATAATATCAACGATCCAAACTGTTCATCTTCCTACATCCTCTAATAGATCATGTTTTCAAAAAAGAAAATCCGAATAAAAACAAAATTTGATGAGAAAAATGAAGCGTAAATGTAAACAACAATCAACGGTTAAATTTTGATCTATGATTTATATGATTATAATGGTGAATTTCAAAGTTAAGCTCTTCACGAAAGTTGTAAAGCTTGTCATTACAAGCGTTTATATATTTTTTCTATATTTTTTACACTTCTACATTAATTAAAAAATATTAGATTTTGGGCAAACTAAGTGGCGTAAAACAAAGTGGCAATTACCATTGGTATACCATACCAACCAAACTATTTGGTATACCGATATTCGATATACCAAAAGTTTGGTACGGTAATGATAATAGATTTTGTCGTACCAAATATTTGGTATGGTAATTGGTACAGAGGTTTTGGTACGGTAATGTACAAAAACCACCCCTAATTAACAACATCCAACACTTTACTAATATGATACAAAAAATTTGTTCAAGACAAGAAGTTCATCCCTCTCCTAAGAGCATCTCTAAAGGAGATGCCAAAATGTACACATCAGTTATAATAGTAAAAAAGACCACACTAATATTCTTCAACTGAAGTGTCAAATCCTATGCGGCGATGACATGCATTAGCAGCAAAAGAGGTTGTTGTCAAATTTAACAGCAGCTTCAAATGTATTTTTTATTAATTATTAAATGTATTTTTTTAATTTTTAATTTTTAATCATTTATTATAATTAATGTTGAGTTGAGGTTGCAATTATCCTACTTTTTTCTTCTTTTCAATCAAGGAAAGTGAACAGATTACTGCTTAAACTTTAAATGTCCTTTATTAAATTTTAATTAGTTTAATAATTTATTTAATAAAATAATAATTTAATTTGACATATTGGTTGGAGAACAAAACTTTAAAAGATGTCAAAATGCCACATAAGCTGTCACAATTTAAATTTTATGTTCAAAATTTGACACCTTCTTTAGAGATGGTCTAATAACTCAAAGTTTTGGGGTTCAATTATTGTATACTTTCCCACGTGCATGTTTGTTTAGCCCGTTTTCTAACAAATTAAGATTTTGAGAATCCATTTATCTAATGACAATTTAGTTTTAACTAGAAAATGTGCTCGCGCGTTGCTGCGGGACTTGAATGCATCACCTTGAACTGCACGAATAAGATACATTTTACCTAAATGAAGAGAAGAATAGATGAGTGAATGCGGCAGTTGATACGTACTTATTACATCAATTACTATGACTAAATGACGTGTCAATTCCATGATTATGCAATAAAAAAACGTAGGGCTAACGAATATGACCAATCATTCTAACATTCTTCCTAGCTTATCCAATCTAGATGATAGAAATGGCTAATTTCGTTGACCAATTAACCGGATTAGCTAACACTTCCTAAAGAGATATTCTTCATGCTTCACATCTCTTAACTGGAGCTGTAATAGAATTCTAGCATAGTATCCCCAATGCTATTGAATTGGATGACGGAAATGCTGAATTTCTAAATAGCTCATCATATACTTGTGATTTGTGAATGAAGATTTTGTATTCATGAATAATGATCAAATGCTTGACAATTATCGTGCTACGTAATTATCAATCACATATTTAAAATCCAGGCACAAAAGCTTTAGAAAGATAAATAAAAAAAAACCCATATAACTAAATAGGCTTTGAATATGCTATCAGGGCACATAATTATATACCTAAAAATGGCAACAAACCAGCTTCTTCCTCACACGACCCGACTTTCTGAAATTTCCCAAGAAGATAAATCCATTAGCAATTGAGAGAAATTCGAGATATATATAAATCAAGAAGCAGAGGAGCAGAATGTTCAAACCTAATTACACCAGAATCTCAAAACGACCGATGCCCCGGAAATAGCCATGCCCTATTGCTTCTCCTCGTTCCCAGTTTGCTCTGAAATGGGGGTGTGACTCATAGTTTGATTTGGAATGGGAGTTTGACTTCTAGTTTGTTCTGCAATGGGAGTTTGAGTTATAGTTTGCTCTACAATGGGAGTTTGAATCTTGACCGAATAAAATTATTGATCAAAATCGTTCTATTTATTAATGCTTGTTCAGAGATATAATCATACCAAACAGAAAGACTCAATCCATTGCTAACATCAGCAACCCTAATTTCCCACCAAAAGAACTTAGGTCAATAGATTTCTTAGGAAACAATTCTTAGTCGCTGCGAACCACAAACTACGCAACCGAAACAGAACCGGATTAAATAAAAGCACTTTGAGTAAAGAAAACAAAGTGAAATCTGTTTTCCATCCAAATAATCTTTTAGCTCTCCGTTCAACACTTTTGATATGTTTTATTTAAAATGGTTTCTGGAATCAGTCATCTCACAGGGTATTCTGACTCTCTTTTTCATTCATTTCTCGCAAACCAATCATACATTTAAAATAGGGCTTGGATAGCCTAATGTAAACTACACAAAAAAAGATTTAGAACTTGGTTTAGCGGCTGAAAATAATTTGTGCTTCCAAATAATAATGCTTACCCATAACCTAGAATTTAAAATTAGCATTTTGTGGCGTTTGGATGTGAAAACTGAAGCGGCAGGTGGCAGTAGTGGTACCAAATTACAATTCTAAATTTAGCAACAGAATCCGGCTGATAATTAACCCAGAATATAAAATCTAAATAAGTTAGAGCAAAAATCACCTCAAATCTTTGCTTCTCTTGTACTTTGGTATTATGGGGTTGACTTGTAAACGGTAGATAAAGTCCTGAAAACCAAGAATGAAAAGCATTCTTTCAGTTAACCAAAAACCATTCATAAACGGAGTACGACATGTAAACAAAAAATAAATCTTGGAAAGCAGACATAAACAAACTTCAATCACAATTACTTTAATACATATTTGGATACAAAGGAAAATTGAATTTATTAAATTTTGATATAAAAAACATTAATTAATGCAGGAAGAACATTTGTGCCTCAATGGCGTGAGAAGTACTCAAAACAAACTTTGTGATGTGTAAACAGAAAATGATCATGCTCTCCAACCTAATGCAGAAAAAACATTTGAATTCTTCCATGATATCCATGATTTGCACATATTTATATACCAATTGAGAATAACAATTTAAAGCCCCCACCCACCCCATCTCCCCCACCCGAAAAATTCACCTAAAAACCACATTAACCGCCACAGTTTAAGAATCCAGATTACATTTTTCAACAAAAAAGAATCATCCTTCAATTATTAGCCTAAATATTGATTTGCAAACACAATGTAGCAAAAGAGTTGTTCAATAGCTCATTTTGGATTATAGGAAGTCCATTCAAAGAACTGAAAAAGCATAAATGAAAATATTCAAGAACCAACCTTTTTTGGAAACCATTGGTTCTAGTCTTATGATCTTTGATTCATTTAGCGAGAACCAAATTAATCTGAAATAAAAAGAAACCTGTTAGTTAAATCAACTCAGAATTCAAAACTAATATAGATTGACGGTGAAAAAAGGTATTCGCACACACATAATGCAATACACATGTGTAATATACAATTGAGTAAGATACTTTGATGCCATGTGGATCATTAACTGTTCCCTTGAGCCACAATTTTATTTGAATTAATGTACTAAAGATTAATGCTATGTACATTGAAAACGTCGAGTGATTGTTATATCAAAAGATTTGACCACACAGGTAGGCCATGCGGCTTTGGATCGATATTAGTACACTTACATGCAAAAAATTATGAAATATTGATTGGTTTATTAATAACGTTAATGAAGATTCTTGTTTTTGGCGTGTCTCAATGAATGTTGTTTTGTTACGTCGTTTTATTACTTAACATTATTAGTTAAATTTAAATACATAATGTTATGATAAAATGATTTAAACTTAACGTTATTGGTAACAGCATACAAAGTTTCAAAAAACAACATTGAACTTAACTAAGTTTGATGTGAGGATTATTTTGAATTTAAATCATAGATCTCTGCTCTAATCTGTGCACACACAGCATACACATTTTAAAACAAATAATAACAATCACAAAAGAACCAACAGAGTGATGGCATAAAAATCTCAAGCATGTGGCATCATCTGTCAATGAACAAAAATAAGATGTATCATGTATTGTAGAGGAATAGATAACTGAGAATTCCATTCAGAGTCACCACAATGACAACAAAGAATAGAAGCATGAACAAAAACATGCAAAACACATACAATGTGTTTTTTGCATAGAGGTTGTAACACTGAAAAAGTAGCAGAGCAGGAGGAAAAAGAGAAATGGAGAGCAAGGTGGTAGCTAAAAGAGAAATTAGAGTTATTAATATCTTCTTAGCTCTCCTAATTTAATAATTTAGACTCAAAATATATTCTGTTAGATGTCTTTCCGAATCCATGTTTTGAGAAAGATGGTACTGTCCAAGAAGAGCGGGACTTTTCCTTTCTAAAAAAATGGAAGCCAACAGCAATCATGAATAAAAGTGGGCAGAGAATATAAAATTCTACTTGTCTTTTCTTGTGGCTTTGGTGGTTTTGGCAAATGGTTTTATTTTATTTTTTATTTTTTATTTTTTTACAGCAATGGACGGCAGCAAGAAAGGGGGAGAGCAGACAGGCAGCAGAAAAGCAAGAAATAATCAAATTGGACTCGAACTTACCAATTTTCTATTCAAATAAACTGAAAAAAGGAGTTGGAATCAAACTAACCTCCGTTTTCTATATGCAGCAAACTGCATCTTGTTTTTGCCTTCGTTAGCAACATACCATTGGCTCTGTACACACCAAAAAATGCTCTGTACACACCAAAAAAACACAGTAAACACCTCATTCATTACTAATAACCATTTCAATTAATTTATTATTTAGACAAATTTTTCAATGATTCCGAAGCTCAGATAAAATCTGCAGGAGAAAATTGAGATTATATGCAATTGTATGTCAAATAACCTGAAAAATACCATATATCCAATATTAAGTGCATACACCTATAAACTAATCTTTATATATTCTTTAAAATAATACAGATCAATGTAATCTAAAACATTGAAAACATTATCATACAATTAAAGAATAACGATGCAGAAAATTTTCTTTCCATTATTTTCGGATAACTTTCCAGTCAAAAACCATTTCTTTTATCCCATTTGTCCAACACCACCTGCATTTCAAACAAAAAGGAAGAGTTTAATAACTAATAATTTCAGGCACTTTCCAATTTTCAGCTATGATAAAGACCATGGATAATTTATTGTGTCCATTTTCTTGCCATCTTAAGTGGCCAGAAACTGAAAATTTGTTATCAAATGTGTTAATGTTGCAATATATAGGATGACGGAGAAAATTCCAGTGAAGATTGGTTGAGAAAATTTACAGTGTCACTACTCGCCTTTAGAAAGATGTCTTTTCTGGAAACCATTTCAAAGTGTTTAGGATCCCAAAACCCGTAATCGATTATAGTGTGCCTAAAATCAAAAAATGACCTTCACAAAAACTAACTCAAAAACCCTAAATCCCTAAACCAGATTAGTGTGGTTTCATCCTGTTAAAGATACGAAAAATGAAGCCATTCAAGCGGTTAAGATATCTAGTAATGATCATGGAGATACGCAGCTGGAAGAAGATGTAAGATAAAAAACTTATTAGTATGAAATGAATCCAATATCCTAATGTAAAGGAAATTACTCATAGTAGAAATTCTGAATGGACAAAGTTTTGGCTTCCCTTTCCGGCTATACTTGATTAACTGGGAACCTTTTTTTTAATGCAATCAGCGACTTCATGAGAGAGAGAGAGAGAGAGAGAGAGAGAGAGAGAGAGAGAGAGAGGAATATTAGGTGAAAAGTAGTATTGCCAATTCACACAGAGATCAAAATCTTGAATATATATGTTTAACCATATCAAACATCATTTCGTCGAAACCGACTTCACAAACACCTTCTTCTTCTGTTTTCAAATTTTCAGAAACACAACAATCAACTACGTTTTCGAGAAAATTAACAAAAAAAGAAACCCTCTTTGATTCAGTTTTCTCAAAAACCAAACAGAACCTAAAAATTTCAAGCTTACATTTTTGAAGCGAGCCATGGATAACGTTTGCAATTTCAGCTCCGTAGCTTTGTGATCAATACTGCAAAAAATTAAAACAAAAAATTATACGCATTTAGAGTAGAAAAAAGAATGAATTTATGCTAGGGATTCGCCAGATAATTAAAACTAATTGAAAAATTAAACAAAATTACCTTTGGGCGTTTAGGGTTTTGGGGGAACTCGGTCTTTGCGTGAGGTTATAGACGAAGGAAGGAAATGACTAAACGCGCGAGGCAAATTTGGTTGGTTTATTAGGCGCATCCGAACCGTCTAAACATACTAAGGAAATCAAGATGCATCCAAAACACAAACAGTCAAACTGGAATGCGCATGGAGAAGCAGAAGAAGAAAAAGAAGATGAAGAGGGGGTAGTCGATAGCTTACCCGACACTGGTCGTGGTCGGAGTGACAGAAATCAACAAAGCCCTGTGCGATTTCATCGTTTTGAGATGTGATGGTCACATCATGATTTTATCACCTGAAGGTCGACCCTTCCAAGTCAGAAAACAGAAAAATTAAAATTCAGGAACAATAAACTAACAAAAACAAATTACAGAAGAGGAAAAAATCAAATTACCTAAACAAAAATCCATGATTATTCCATGAGTGCTGATTCTATAGGTTTTAAAGGGGGAAGGTTTTTTTATTTGAGATGGATGATGTTCGATCTGGGGATTTTAGGTGAGCAGATTGAAACTGAGGGAGAGAGAAAGAGAATGATGAAGAGAATGGGATCTGAGGGAGAAAGAGGGGAGGAAGAGAATGGTAAGGTGACGATCGCACCCTGCCTTTCCACGATCATCAACACGCGGCATCAAGATCAGCGGCAGAGAGAGACAGTGGCAGCTTCGTAAATAAACTGAAATGTGGTCCAAAACACTGTTCATATGAATAGTGCAATTTCCCCTCCTACTTTAGACTAAAGTAATTTGAATCACAAAAAAAAAAAAAAAAAAAAAAAAAAAAATTATAGACCATCTTGGTCAATGACTCAACACTGATATGGAATTATAGGAAAGAAATCATCTTCGAATCTTTTCCATTAAGGCCACCGAACCAAGTGATCCGGATCCTTGAAATTTGATCTAACGGTTAAAGTTATTATAACTTTTAAAGAGGGTCCCTGTTTTTAGTCGTTGAATCAAATTTCAAAGGTCCGGATTACTTAATCCGGTGGCCTTGGTGGAAGAGATCCGGAGAGGATCTCTTTCCGGAATCATGTGCTTTAATATATCTGACACTCATTTTCCACGGAAAATGATCCTCGCTAGATCCTTTTCCTGAGGATCGCAAGGATCTCGTAATTATGTTTGTTAATCTTACATCATGCGATCAGTTTTTGTTAGGTACTATTTATATTTAATTTTAAATTTTAAATGATTTCTGACCACACGATGCACGATGAACGGATAAGATTACAAGATCCCCTGAATCCCTAAGAAAAGAATCAGTCGAGGACCCTTTTCCATTTTCCACCACAAATACCCCAATATATGCATGATTAGACCTGCCTCGTTTTCCAGCCTTATGGGTTTAGTCAAAAGATAAATCTTGGGCAATCAAATTAGGCTAATGTCGTGTTTACGTATCTATAATCGGAATGAGAATGTAGAATTGAATTTTAATTACGGAGTATTACGGTGTTTTCTAAACACGGAGGAATAAAAAAAGCAGTGGGGCCCACAGAAATTTTGGAATTCAATTCCTTTTATTGGTGGAATTGGATGCCCTAGATATAAGTGGTAATCCAATTCCTGATTGTTTGGGCAATCGGAATGATATTTTTGTTCCTTATACGTCCTCACTTACTTTTTTTATTTCCAAGACTATCCTTTATAAACTCATTAAAATATATAAAATATTTGATTTGGGACAAGGGCATTTGAGTAATCATACTAGTTTATATTCCAATTCTGCTGAATTAGTAAACAGCTTTATGGAATTCTATTCCGATTCCAGAACATTTAAGTAAACAGCTTCAACAGGAATCCGATTCTAACTTCTCCTCATTCCAACTCCTCCTCATTCCAACTCCTCCTCAATTCAATTCCTCATATTTTCATTACCGTTACGTAAACACACCATAATTCCAGCTTAATTATTTTATTTCCTTGCAGTTCTCAGGCTCTAGCCTTCCAACAGAGGAAACTTCTTTGTAGTTTTTCTTAGGCTTGTTTATTGATTCGCGGTCTGAAACTGTTTTTTAATTTTACTTTATTTTTGAAATTGGATTTACCTCATTTACCTCTTAAAACTGCCAAAATCGAGTTAAGTCACTTTATTTATGTCAGCGGCGGCAGAGATTTGGCAGTTTTAGAGGTTTAGAGCAGCCTGGAAATTTCATACATTGCCAAGATGTAAAGTGAGACTAAAAATCAGTTGGGTTGTTGAAAGATAACCCATGAAGTGGGCTGTTCGGCTATAATAACTCGGATTACTTTGAAAATTTGAATTTCAAGCTTCTCTTTTATTTAAACAGTTATATGATTTCGAATTTTGGTAGTTTCTGAAAGATTAGGTGGTAGTCTGTTAACCTTATTTTATAAATTAAATAATGAAATAAAAAGAAACTTTTATTTCAATTATCTCCTACAAACACATTATTGCAACCCTCATATCAGTTACAATAACATCACTTTTCTACAACAGTTGGATCACGAGACCAAGATACTTCTTCGATGACTTTATTCTAGTCTATATAGAATGGTAAGTGATTTTCGCACTTTCTTTTTCTCCTATGCATTTCTCTCCTTGTTTTTAGATCGAACAAAATAAAAAATAACTACAGGCGGAAGCAAAGAGACGAGTGCAAATAGAGAAACCGGGATGTGAAAATCACTATACCAGGTATAATTGGCTAAGTAGTCCCTTCAACAAAGCACACTTATCAAACCAAACAAATCCTTACTTACCATGCTGCAAACACCATAATCTAGCTGTTCTGTTTTGTATGGTGATGGCCTCGAGTTCTAGATCTTGCAGGGAGTGGAAGAGGAGGGATGCTTTGTTCATGCCTGAAGAAATTATCAGGATCAACTTTGCTCTTAATTTTAATCAACCTGTTGAAGTTGTCCTTGAAATACCTATTCCCCCAAGCACTTGCCTCAATGAAGCTTATGTTACTCTTCTTGTTAACCCCCAAATCAAGATCCCTATAATTCACATACGCCTGCCTTGGAAACATTGTGACATAAGGGGCCATGTAGTTGTAAAGCTTTCTGATCCAATCCATGTGCTTTCCTTCATCTTCTTTCTCATCCTGCCATGTGGTCAGGTACTGGATTTTGAAGAGAACTTTTCTGTGGGGGAAAGGGATTGCACTCTCTGAAATTCTACCCATCATTCCACCATATGGGTTTAAAATTACTAGAGGAGACTCTTCCTCCATCAGCCTCTTCCAAAACCCTTCAAGCCCACTTTCAGGAATTGGGTCTTTTACAAAATCTGATTTGGCTTTGAAGTAGTTCTTGAACGTAGATTTTCCTTCAAGCAAAACCTGTTAGGAATTTAAAGGCACCAACAAATAAAATTTTAGTCCGCAGATCCACCAAAAGAGTAAAACGAACACGGTGAATGTCCAAACTTCATTTAGAAACAAGCAAGCGCAAAGAACACACGATATATGACGATTCACACAAATAATTGGGCTACGTCCTCACGCATTAAATTGTTTCCGCCAAAGGCCTATTTGGGACTGCTAAGAGTATTATGTAATCCATTCTATAATAACAACAGTACTTCTAAATAAATAATTGGCAGAAACACTTGAGAAAAGTATTTTTGATGTTGTTCATAAAGCGCTTGCTAGCTAGGCGCTTCATGAAGCACTTTCAAGTGGTTTTCTAAGTATTACTTGGGTTTTAAATAAAAACTTTGACATGTTTATAGTAAAAACACTTTTAACAAAAGCACTTATCAGTAGAAGTATTTCTAACATAAGTTGTCCTATATGAGCCTGAACAAATACATAAGATGATCATTACCTCAGGTGGGGTCGAACTTGGGTACCCTGCTATGTACATCACAGATTTGAGCCAGCTTGTTTCTGTGCAATCTTTTTTGGTCAATCCCAACTCAGGGAAGCTGGTTTGAACAACATCAAGCAATCTATCAGCACCTCCAAGGAATTGGGCTTGGTAAAGAGTTGTGACAGTTTTATTGCCAGTTTTGCTACCTTCTGACACTTGTATGACGACTCTCATGAAGAGATCTTCATCGAGCTCAGTGGCAGCTACTTGTTGCCATTTATGTAGGACTTTTGTAGCGCCTGTTTCCAAGGTTTTAGGAACAGTAAAAACTGTGACGGTTTCCGGAACGGGAACCAGCTTTATCTTCCACCAGAGAATGATTCCAAAGCTTCCTCCTCCTCCTCCTCTGATTGCCCAAAAAAGGTCTTCTCCCATTGCTGCTCTATCGAGAACTCTCCCACTCACGTCAACGATTTTTGCATCGATGACATTGTCGGCTCCAAGGCCATATTTTCTCATCATGGAGCCATATGCACCTCCGGTTATGTGCCCACCAACGCCTAGACTCGTGCAAAGCCCGGCAGGGAAGCCATGTGTTTTGCTCTTCTCTGCAATTCTGTAGTAAACCTCACCAATGGAGGCACCAGCTTGAGCCCATGTACTGTTATCTTGGATATCAACGATGACTGATCGAAGCTTGGCCAGGTCTACAACGACGAAAGGCGTTTCGATTTGGGAGACATAAGAGGCGGCCTCATAATCATGGCCTCCACTTCTGACTCTGAGGTGGATTCCAAGCTGCTTTGAGCAAATGACAGCAGCTTGGACGTGGGAATCATGCAATGGTGTGAAGATAAACTGAGGCTTTGGCGCTGTAGGGACCAAGTACCTAAGATTTTGTGCTGAGGATTGTAGGAATGGGAGGAATGTAGAATTGTTGGGGGTGATCAAGGCCGTGGAGAATGGGATTGAAATCTCAGATTTTTCCGAGAGGCATTGGCTGAAATCTTCTTGTAATGAAGCTAGAGGATGTGCCCATGGAGTTGAAATCAGGAGAAGAAACAGTGAGAAAATTGAAGCGTTTGGAATTGGATGCTTCATGCCTAATTGCTTCGTTTAAGGTATTCGCTTTGTGTGGTGTTGGGAAAGTGGATGATGGTGTGTGTTGCTTTATAGAAGCATGATTCTCTCATTGACACCGCAACGTCTTCTTGAGCTAATGCAAACGTCATGTGGCGTTGGCATGAAAAAATTGTTATGGATGATTGTTGCCAAATAGTTAATATGGTATAATTTTTTCTGCTTATTTTATAATAATAAATTATGACTATCACATCGTCACATATATTATTATTTTATACATGAGATTTCAACGAATAAATACATATTTTTTTATCTCGTATGTACTGGTATTGTTCTTCAAGTGTTTGAAGAGTGTGGAGTATGGACCAAGTCAGCAGTACGTAGTCAACATCTTTGATCTACCATTTCTTTTAATTCATGGTCCTTTACAATTAATGTTTTGATTATCCAGACATAGTTTTATCATGTTCTTGCTTTAAATTCAAGTTCCCCTGTATATTGTAAATGGTTCCGAATCAGAAAATTCATTTTTCTGGGCAAAAGGAACGTGCAATATATTTGATCAGCTTTTTTTCCTTATCAATATTTCATATCCAAAAGTTCAAGTTTTTAAAATACGTACTTTAATCAGAGAATTATTTTTCTTGAATTTGCTAGATAAAATACTAGAGCTTCGGTTTCGGACTAAAAAATCCTTATTTAAAATAGGTTTGTCGTCGACTTGCCACTTAAAACTATGGTAGACCCTTATACTATATTTTCTTGGTATACATATATTATTGTATTAGAAAAAAAAAAGGAATTGCAACGGGCGCTTTACCGTAATGACGGAAAACAATATATTTATGCATCTTAGTGCTCAGTTGGATCTTCATCTCCATCTCCATCTCCATCTCCTCTTCTTCTCTAACAACTAACAATTTAACCTACTAACGCTATCATTTGAAAAAAAAAAAAAAAAAAGGTTCTAACAAACGATAGGTGCTAGTCGGGCGGCGAGCTAGCGCCTAGTGCCTAGGCGGAATCTAGACGGGCGCCTAGGTGGATTTAGGTAAATTTCTTGTATATCTTGTAAATAAATGCATATTGACACATAAAAAATTCTACTTGTATGAAATTCATGGATAAGATAATAAAAGAATGATAAAATACAAAAAGAGTATCCAACAAGTTCAAAATTTAAAAACATATTAAGCATATATACCATATAACTTAAGACATTTTGAATGATTAGTAAGTTAAATAAATTAAATTCAGACAAATAAAATATAATTCAAGACATTTTATAGTATTAATTTAAACTAAAATATAACACTTAAATTTAGGAATGAGAGGATTGAGTGGGGGAGGAGAAAACAAATTAGAATTGATAAAGTGGACTGTATAGCAAAGCAACCCACGTGATTTTTAGTTTTTTAATAAAAATGGTGAGGCTAAAAGGCCTCCCATGTGGATGAGGAGAGTGTTTTCAAACCAATAGCAAAAACACACTGTTTTACCAAATGGTTAGTCGTCTTCTTCAGTTCTTCTCCACCTTCTGGTTTGCAGAAGGCCATGACAGAGCAGCCGTCGCCACTGTTTTCTCCTCCACCATATACCCATATTTGGGTGGTCCGCGGAGGTCTCACAGCCACTAGTCCGGGCTTCCGGGTGGTTGCAGGACCACCCAGGTCCCTTAATAGATCCGTCCCAGCGTCCGCACAGACCTTGCCGATTTAAGAAACGATTTTGAGTTAATCGCGGCGGAACACTGCCGCCTAGCGCCTAGGCGCCGCCTCAACCGTTTTTTAAAACACTGAAAAAAAATGAAATTTTTATTGGCCCTTGAAATATTTAGTTGTGCACTCCAAACTTTCAATATTAAAAAAAAAAAAAAAAAAAAAAAAAAAAAAAAAAAAGACCAAAAATTCAAGATAAATAATATTGACTAGGGATGGACATTTGGTGGATGGGAATGTATGAGGAAAGCAGGGCCACATGTAGAGCTAATTTCACAGAATCTATGTTTTCATGTGGTGCTAAGCCATCTTAAGGCGGGTTGGCTTGGGTGGGTACTATGATTGAGATTATTTACTTTCTTTCTTATCCCTAAAGTGAGCATGAGTGACAAATAATCCATAAAACAAATCATATTAAATCATATAAATTTGTGTTGTACAATCACTATCTATTACTTAACATTTAAATTTCATTATTAAAATAAATTATAAAAAACAAGTGTAATAACAATTAGATTTTATGTATATTTACATGTAATATAATATATAGATTTTGCTATAATATTTACATGTATTTAATATAATCATCATCTCAACAGGTAGACAATGATTGTGTTAAATACATATTATTCAAATGAATATATCTGACAGTCAGTAATAATTGTATTAAATACATGCAAGTATTAAATACATATTATTCATGGCATGCAAAAGATGGAAGTGGACGAGGAAAGATAAAAAACAAACATCCCGTGAAGCTGGATCCTTATCTCCTGATATGACCTTCTCACACAACTCTTTAGTTTTTTAAATTGAATTGAATAAATAAAACGAAAATAACGGTTAGAATTGAACAAAATCGTGTAAGAAGTTGGAAATAGTGTGTTTATCATTTGTCTGTCATATATTTGGATCAAAGTAAAGGACACGTGAAAGGAAGGAAAGTAAAGCGAAGCAACTTTCACATTTGTAGATTCTCAATTTGACTATTGTGTCACCGCCATGCCTCGTCTAGAGAAAGTAATGCATAATCAATTGGACAATGACATGCCCGCAATTAACTATCGTGGCCCTCAATTCAGCTGCTATTGCGCTCGTGTTATAGTTTAAGACTATAACTAAAATTTTTATATTTAAATCCTTATCAGCCAGGATATTTCATTCTTAACCGTACCCTGCAATTAAGGCTTTAAAAAATAATGATTTTCATACTCTTGTTTTCTCGTTTTGTACTTACTCTTTTATTTAGGTTTGTTGATTCTCTTTTAACTTAATAAAATTATGAAAATTTTATTTGAACCTATATAACTTCTTTCTTCACATAACTTACTCTCTTCAATCATATTGTTTTTTATTAAAGAATTAATCTATCTTTAAACCCAAATTTATTACCTAAACTACCCTCTTAAACCTAATTTAAAATGTTAAGTTATCTTTACACTTATTCACTTTATAAAATAACATCTGTACTTAAATTTTTTTTAAAGAGGCATCCTTGCCCCACCCCTCCTTCCACAAGCATTTCCATGGCTACTTTTTTTTTTCTTTTCTTTATGCTACCAAACCTATACATTTGCCTTTTTTTCTTTCTATTGATGTGCATAAGCAACAAATTAAACAATTCATCCCCTTATATTTATCAACAAGCAAGGAAGTTTATAATCTAAGAACATTGGTAAGAAGTTTTTCCTCATAATTTCCAACTGTAGAAAGTTTAACAAACCATTCGGGATTGATGAAAAAAATTGAAACCCAAATACTCATCTTCTAAACCTTAAAAAAATTAAAATCAAACGAACAATAAATTGAGTCAATACCTTAGTTGGAGGATTCAAAACTTCAAAATCACCATCCATCAATAAAAAAAAACTTGTTTTTCTCTACAAGACCTATTAGGGTTTTAGCCAGAATGAATGTAGGATAAACAATAAGTGATGGTAGGGTTTAATTTGTTTATTGATGAATTTGAGTTTTATTATTAATTTCATTTTGTACTTAATAGTAATTATGCAATAAATAACAATAGACAATTAACAATTTAAATTTAAGTTTGATGTAAAAAAATTGTTACATGGGTTCAAATAAAATTTTCTTAAAATTATTTAGGAAGAGAATAAAAGAGTATGAAAATTACTTTACTTTGAAGAGGTGAATATAAACTAGTCCTTACAGTAAATTGAGATGTTTTGTAAATTACAATTTAGGGAAACAAACTATTGACCTAACCTAAACTTAAACGATTTCTTCCTGCACCCTATGTTAACCTCTAATTTCAGACAATTTTTATGAGAAAAAGAATACTAGAATTTGATTAGGCCATGTCAAAATACTAAGGAAACTGATAACACACGTTTTTAACCTCTCACACAGTGTTTAATCTTGTCCATTAATTATTTAAAAAAAATTGTCCATTAATTTTGATTAATTTATTCAATATTTTCACTGTAGCGACAGTTCTTGTGGACCAATCGGTACCAAAGTACTGATCGTATCATTTTCTATTTCATTTATTTATTTGGAAGCAAGTTTACGATTTATTGAGCAACAAATGTATATTTAATAGACTATTTAAGTCGAAAACTAAAAAAATAAGTGAAAAATATAGTAGGGAGGCCCAAAACATTGTTAAAATGACGTTCCACACTCAAGAATATAACAAAAAGTATTACTATAATCTTCAAACTTCACGATTAGGCGAAGGTGAAAATAAATAGATTGAACGATAATTTAAATATGACTGGGCAAGGATCGGTAGCGTGGTACCGATCTTTCCCAGTTCATTTATTTATTTATTTATTTTCTGCTTTTTTGTTTATTCCTTTGAGTTTTTTCTTCGTACATTACTTTATCTGAGTAACCACTATTAAATTCAAATATCTTTAAATTTAGGTTTTAAATCGTTGATTACAAGTGTTTAAATATGTACGATAATAGATTTTGCATGAAAAAATATATTTTGAAGAATAGGAGTTTGATAGTTTGTTGTTATGGTAAGAGAACTAAAACAAACATAAGCAAAAAAAAAAAAAAAAAAAAAAAAAATTGAAAAGAGGGGTTCGGTATGAAGATAGCGATTCTTAACCCGACCGGTTGCTCAAACTCTAGCGACAGTTCTTGTGGACAATCGGTATCAAAGTACTGATCGTATCATTTTCTATTTCATTTATTTATTTGGAAGCAAGTTTAAGATTTATTGAGCAAAAAATGTATATTTAATAGACTATTTAAGTTGAAAACTAAAAAAATAAGTGAAAAATATAGTAGGGAGGCCCAAAACATTGTTAAAATGACGTTCCACACTCAAGAATATAACAA